GAAAGTCGTAAAAGAAAAATTCTATTTTTAATGACAAGTATTAATAATACAATTAATATTGCAATCTAAACTGCTACCTTTTTACTGGTTTCAAACAAATCTTGATCATTTTTTACTTTTTGAAATTTCATTCTTTTTGTGCATAATAAATTCCATTTTTGAACCTTATACTAATATCCAAAAGGATTCTCTAAGTATTAATATGCATTCTGAAAGTTAAAATACTTATGATACTAAGTTTACAAATGGAGCTCGGTTGGCACCATCCGGTTAAGTGTTTGGCTCCTAACCTCAAGGTCTGCAGTTCAAACCCATCGGCCAATCCTTGAAGGGAAAAATGAGGCAATCTGTTCCCACAAAGATTTAAAGGCACAGAAACTGTATTAAAGGGTTACTATGAGTCAGAAATGATTCAATGATGGTGGGTTTAAGATTATAAAAATCCATCATTTCAATTTATCATTAAAAAGACATAATTTTTTATCCCACACAAATATCTGAAGATACATATATAAGAAAACTCATCTCAGGATTGTTTACATTAACGAGAAGTATAAACAATTTCACTACATAACAGCACACAAAAAACCAATGCACACACAAAATCACTCCATGGAGCCAATGCCGACTCAAAATGACTCTATTGGACAGGGTAGAATTGCTCCTGTGGGTTTCTGAGATTGCAGCTCTTTATGGGAGTAGAAAGCCCTGTCTTTCTCCCATGGAGTGGCTGTTGGTTTTGAACTGCTGACCTTGCAGTTAGCAGCCCAAAGCGCAACCAATACATCACCAGGGCAAAAAGAGGATGTTTCCATGATTTAAAATACAATACAAAAGAATTTTTAAAATGAAATAAAATTAAATACAATACAGACATGTAAAATACTAGATGGTTAATATTAAATACTATGTACTACAGGTGATAGCATGAAAAAGATTTGACATATGTGCAAAGAAATGTGTATAATGTCATCCCAATTTTCTAAGGAAAGAGGCATGTTTATTGTCTGTGAAAGGCTACACACTAATATTTATCAGAGCCGTATTTCTGCATGCTAATTTCACAGGTGGTTTCATTGCCTTCTTGACACAA